TGATCATTTTTATCAAGCTTGTATATTTAAGTTCAGTAATTTCACTTAAATGGCAATGAAGATTACCTATTAATTGTTATTTAAGTGAAATTACTGAACTTAAATATACAAGTTTGATAAAAATCATCATTCAAGAAGAAAATTTCAAATGGCATTTAGAGGCTTTTGCATCTGAACTCTTCATATATTTGAAATATACCTTTCTGTCAACAGTGGGGAAAGAGTAAACTAGATTTGGACTCCTATGCACACTACCAGTGGTCTGAAAAAAAAAATCAACTTCAAGACAGTTTTATATATGGGAATTAAAAATTATAAAGTAAAAAAAGTCCAAATTGCGAGATATAAATTCGTAATTGTGAGAAATAGCAAGATTTGTGAGATGAAAAATGAAATTACCTTATTATTGTTTTATTCCAGGGCAGCAAATGGGCTTCCATGTAGCAAACCAAACCAAAACCCAATATAAATGTTTAAAGCATGTATTCTGAGAACTCAAAAGCATGCTCAGCTGTACCTGTGGTTACTACAGTTGTCAGGGCAGCCGTGTTGGCGCCACCTGAGGTGGCATACAGCTTGATCTGATATCGCGTGTCTCCTCTGAGCCCGGTCAGCACTGTGGAGCGGGCACCTGTGGGCAAGGTGCGCCCCGTCGCCTGCGAGGGCAAAGCAGACTCTCTCACCTCGACTATAAAATTATCAAACGCCTTCTCTCCCGTCCGCCAGGAGAGCGAAACTGTGTCTGAGGTAATGTTTGAAACGACTAGCCCAGACAAGTCAGGCTCGGCCGCTACAGGGGGAAAAAGCCAGCCATGGCGTTTTGTTTAGTGTCTCTTTCTCTGCTTTCAATAGTTTTAGAGATCTGTCCATGCTAACGGTCCAGCTAACAGCCTTGGTTAAAGAGATAGTTCAGCCAAAAAAGCATTTACTCATCCTCATTTCGCTTCAAATCTGTATGCTTTTGTACCTGATCAAAATCAAACCAGGGTTTACGGCGTGGGAGGCGGGCGCACTAAGAAGAACGCTAAAGACCGCAGTTGCTAGCATCAGTCAATAGCGTGCCTCTTGAAGCCAGGGGAGTGAGGTTTACTTGCACAGCTCTTACTGGCCTATGTTTGTTGCACTTGCTTTCCCATAAACCTCATTCCCATCCGGGTCACGGCACCAAAAGTATCGTTTCTACTCAACCAGCTCTTAGTGAGGTCTGAACCAGGGTCTCTGGTGTAGAAGGCGGGCTCGCTAACAAGGATGCTAATGACCGCAGTTGCTAGCATAAGTCACTAGGTGCCTCTTGAAGCCAGGGGAGTGAGGTTTACTTGCACAGCTCTTACTGGCCTATGTTCGTTGCACTTGCTTTCCCATAAACCTCATTCCCATCCGGGTCACGGCACCAAAAGTAATCGAATCTACTCAACCAGCTCCTAGTGAGGTTTGAACCAGGGTCTCTGGCGTGGGAGGCGGGCTCGCCAACAAGGATGCTAATGACCGCAGTTGCTAGCATCAGTCAATAGCGTGCCTCTTGAAGCCAGGGGAGTGAGGTTTACTTGCACAGCTTTTACTGGCCTATGTTCGTTGCACTTGCTTTCCAATAAACCTCATTCTCATTCGGGTCACGGCACCAAAAGTAATCGTTTCTACTCAACCAGCTCCTAGTGAGGTTTGAACCAGGGTCTCTGGCGTGGGAGGCGGGCTCGCCAACAAGGATGCTAATGACCGCAGCTGCTAGCGTCAGCCAATAGCATGCCTCTTGAAGCCAGGGGAGTGAGGTTTACTTGCACAGCTCTTACCCGCCTATGTTCGTTGCACTTGCTTTCCCATAAACCTCATTCCCATCCGGGTCACGGCACCAAAAGTAATCGGTTCAACTTGACCAGCTCCCAGTGAGGTTTGAACCAGGGTCTCTGGCGTGGGAGGCGGGCTCGCCAACAAGGATGCTAATGACCGCAGCTGCTAGCGTCAGTCACTAGCACGCCTCTTGAAGCCAGGGGAGTGAGGTTTACTTGCACAGCTCTTACTGGCCTATGTTCGTTGCACTTGCTTTCCTATAAACCTCATTCCCATCCGGGTCACGGCACCAAAAGTAATCGTTGCTACTCAACCAGCTCCTAGTGAGGTTTGAACCAGGGTCTCTGGCGTGGGAGGCGGGCTCGCTAACAAGGATGCTAATGACCGCAGTTGCTAACGTCAGCCAATAGCGTGCCTCTTGAAGCCAGGGGAGTGAGTTTTACTTGCACAGCTCTTACTGGCCTATGTTCATTGCACTTGCTTTCCCATAAACCTCATTCCCATCCGGGTCACGGCACCAAAAGTAATCGTTTCTACTCAACCAGCTCCTCGTGAGGTTTGAACCGGGCTCGCTAACAAGGACAGTAAAGACCACGGCGTCTAGTGTCAGTCACTAGCGTGCCTCTTGAAGCCAGGGGACTGAGGTTTACATGCACAGGCCTGCGTCCATTGCACTTGCTTTCCCCCTAAACCTCACTCCCACCTGGGTCAAATGTTCACCACGGTAACCAGTTCTACTCGACCAGCTTCGAGTGGGTATACTCGTAAATCATCTTGTGGCACCAGATTCAGATTTCCATGTGCACAGGCAGATGCTGAAACTTGAATTTAGTCTTCAATTGTGCATGTTCCTCACGCTATAACATCACTTCAGGAGACTTGAGTTTCATGGACCACTTTTAGAGAGATCTTCAACAAATGAAGATGAAGAAAAAACATACAGGTTTGGAATGACATGAGTACATAAATGTGAACTTTTTGGTTGAACTACTCTTTTGAGGCCTGATTTATCACTTCCAATATAAACAAACGGGGGAAAACAGCAAGGAAAAGAGAGAATTCCAGTTACCTGTGGAGGCGACAGCACTGACAGAGTCTGTTCTCCTTCCCTTCATAACTCCAGTGAGGTAAGCTATATAGTCAGTAGTCGGCTGTAGCCCAGTGATTTCATATGACTGTGTACCGTGTGTTAGATTATATTCAACTGGCTCCCGCTGCCAGCTAGAGTCTATAATCTCCAGGATAAACCTCTCAATATCTCCTCTCGTGTCATTCCATGAAATGGAGAAGCTCTCTGATGTAATATTAGACACATACAGACTGCCAACCATTGGAGTGCTATCTAAAGGGAGAAACGGTTATTGGAACAGAGGTAATGTATATTTGCACTTGCTGTACAGTGTTTGGACATTGTCACCCTTATTGTCTATGGGTACATCCTTGCTGTACTATATGCGTAATTTGCATGTATAATTTGTTAAGCCGAGCATATGATATTAATTGTTATAGGCTAAATACTAGCTAGTGTTATTTGTGCTTGTCGGATTAGGCCTGTTTTACACACCACGTGTCTGCAGCATATTTATTTTTGCATGCATACAGGTAACAGATTTCATATATTAGATTTCATGGCAAAGTTGGTAAAAAAATATAATTAAAATGTAAATTTTCAGCCGAAAAATAAAATACTTAAATTCTTCATTTTTAATGTTTTCATGAATTGTTTGCTTTCACACTGCAGATGCGTGATGTTAAACTGGCTTCAATATGAAAACTATGGAAGCTTGTTTCCGCCAATGAATAAAAAATAAAAAATAAATAAATAATTGCGATTTTTTTTATCTCACAATTGCGAGACATGAAGTCAGAATTGTGAGAAATAAAGTCGCAATTGCGTGTTATAAAGTCTGAGAAAAAATTACAGAAGTGCGACTTTTTATTTCACAATTCTGACTTTTTTGCGAATGTTTGTCTGACTTTTATGTTTACATCTCGCAATTCTGACTTTATAAGTATAAGACATAATTGCGAGTTTATATGTCGAAATTCTGACATCTTTTCTCAGAATTATGAGATATAAACACGCAATTGCCAGAATAGTTTATATTTCACAATTCTGACTTTACAACACGCAATTTGGACTTTGTCAAGCATTTCTGACTTTATAACACGCCATTGCGAATTTATTTCTCGCAATTCTGACTTTATATCACGCAATTCTGACTTTATAACACGCAAGTGCGACTTTATATCACGCAATTCTGACTTTATATCTCACAATTCTGACTTTATAACACGCAAGTGCGACTTTATATCACGCAATTCTGACTTTATATCTCACAATTCTGACTTTATAACACGCAAGTGCGACTTTATATCACGCAATTCTGACTTTATATCTCGCAATTCTGACTTTATATCTCACAATTCTGACTATATCTCGCAATTCTGACTTTATATCTCGCAATTCTGACTTTATAACACGCAAGTGCGACTTTATATCACGCAATTCTGACTTTATATCTCACAATTCTGACTTTATAACACGCAAGTGCGACTTTATATCACGCAATTCTGACTTTATATCACGCAAAATTCTGACTTTATAACACGCAAGTGCGACTTTATATCACGCAATTCTGACTTTATATCTCACAATTCTGACTTTATAACACGCAAGTGCGACTTTATATCACGCAATTCTGACTTTATATCTCACAATTCTGACTTTATAACACGCAAGTGTGACTTTAGATCACGCAATTCTGACTTTATATCTGGCAATTCTGACTTTATAACACGCAAGTGCGACTTTATATCACGCAATTCTGACTTTATATCTCACAATTCTGACTTTATATCTCGCAATTCTGACTTTTTATCTCGCAATTCTGACTTTATAACACGCAAGTGCGACTTTATATCTCACAATTCTGACTTTATATCTCACAATTCTGACTTTATATCTCACAATTCTGACTTTATATCTCACAATTCTGACTTTATATCTCACAATTCTGACTTTATATCTCACAATTCTGACTTTATATCTCGCAATTCTGACTTTATAACACGCAATTCTGACTTTATATCTCGCAATTCTGACTTTATATCACGTAATTCTGACTTTATAACACGCAATTGCGACTTTATAACACGCAATTCTGACTTTTTATCTTGCAATTTTGACTTAATATCACCAATTGCGACTTTATATCACACAATTCTGACTTTATATCTCGCAATTTAGATTTTTTAACACGCAATTGCGACTTTATATCACGCAATTCTGACTTTATATCTCGCAATTCTGACTTTATAACACGCAATTCTGACTTTTTATCTTGCAATTTTGACTTTATATCTCGCAATTCTGACTTTATATCACACAATTCGGATTTTATATCTCGCAATTCTGACTTTATAACATGCAATTGCGACTTTATATCACGCAATTCTGACTTTACATCTCGCAATTCTGAGAAATAAAGTCAGAACTGCAAGATGTAAACTCGCAATTGTGAGAAAAAAGTCAGAATTGTGAGAAAAAAGTCAGAATTGTGAGATGTCACAATTACCTTTTTTATTTTTCATTCTGTGCAAAGAAGCTTCCATAGAAAACAGAAAAGCCGGAGAAAAAAAAAAGAAAAGAAAAAGGTGTTTTCTAAGAATGTTCGTTTAGATGTGAATAAAACTGAGGCTATTTTGTTGTATTTGTTCACTGTAGTGTCAAAACAGGTTAACAAGAATATAGCGTTAGTGCATATGAAGCAATCAACACAAAAGATGTATAAAGATTATTCCAAATTGTTCCCATGCCAATTTTTAAATATTATTCCCAATCCAAACAAAAAGTTAATGCTCAGACGGTGACCAGAAAGCAGTATGTTTCAATATCACATCAGTATTTCCAGTGAATGGGTAAAAACATAAATAACAGAGTTAAAAAATATGAATAAACGTGTTAGAAGAAACAACAAGTCAGAAGATGGATGAGCATATAATGGTGATGGCCAGTATCTATTTTGGTTTATGTAAGGCTACTTTAATTATTTCAAGAAGTATATTCTTGGCTTCTTCGTAAATGGGTTACATTTAGCTTCCTCCCGGTCAAAAACGGACAAAGCCTTAAAATTGAACTTTATTTTTCCCCAGGATAACCATTCAAATATATTTTTTGTTTTATAATATTTTCTGATTATTATTTAGAATGTTTAGAGTTTTTTTTATGATACTTTGCATTAATTATATATTTTTTATGAGCTATTTTTTCGATTAGAATTAATATATTCATTTCTATTTTTATATATATATATATATATATATATATATATATATATATATATTTAAATTCAATAAATGCAACATTTCACATCTCAAAATAGAGTGCCAGCCTACACTCAGAAAAATGCTGGGTTGTTTTAACCCAATTTTGGGTCAAATATGGACAAACTCAAACATTGGGTTAAAAATGTAATTTAAAAATGTAACCCAATGGCTGGGTTTGTTTACCCCATTTACCCCAAATTGGGTTAAAACAACCCAGTGTAATAAAAAAAATGTGTTATTTTATTAAATGTATAAATATATAAGAAATATACATAAAAATCGGTTCAGCTGATGAAAAAAAATTGGGAAACACAGCGCTGATATAGAAAGACCTCAAAATAAACACTACATCAAAACGGATGACTTATTCAAATGCATGTTGCTTCTATATCACATCAATAGATGTGTTAAATGATGCAGATGATGAGATCACGCAATGAAATGATATGTAAGAGGGTGAAATATGTTGCAATCACTGCAGCACATCAAACCTCACCACAATGCGGTAACTATATGAGATGGGTGGTGCCATGCATTTGGGGTAGCTGGTTGAAATGGATGGTATATAAAGGTTGACAATGATTACTGCTGAACACAAAGCTTTGATTTCAGTGGAAATGAATGGAAACATGACATATCCTTTGCCCCAACGCAATCAACTTGGGAGGCAAGACCGACACAGTGGCTGGAACAGTACAGCTGACAATCAGTAAGCTTTGTTAAATGAAATCGTTTCACAATCAGCAAATTATTGTGGACATTCGAGAGACGCCGTTACGTGTTCGGTCATCATTCTCATGGACCACATGCAACAATGAAGCTTAGGTTTCATGAAGAATTAAAAGGAAATGTTAGAGCACAGAAGCACCTGCTTGACACCACAGCTCCCAACTAGAATGAAAAAGGTCAGAAAGAGAGAAAAGATTAAGAAAAAAAGATATCATAGAAAATAGGTTTCTCATCCCTTGTGAAAAAGAAGTGGGCTTAATTGCATTGAATGTGCACTTGCATTGCGTTTTAAATCTTAAAAGTATATTTATAAACTGTACTTGTAGATAATATGATTAATTAAGCATTGATATAAAATGTATGATAATTAATATAACATTAATTGAACATTTATGCTGTATTTCTTTAAAAATAATACATATTTCAGAGACAACAGAAATAATTATTGTTCAAGTCATTTGAAATGAACTGAAAACTTAAATTAAGAAGGGGCTGATTTGTGAGTTTGCTTCTCAATTGAATGTAACATTAATATGTGACGAGTTAAGTTCAACTAATTGTATTGTAATATACATTTAAACTATAATACATTTTCATTTTATAAAATGCAATTAAGTGTCTTTTTCACGAGAGATGTCCAGGTCAGCATGGATACCTGTCGCTGCTTCAATGTTGATCGACCCCAGGATCGAGCCCTGATGCACTCCGTATAGTGTTATTGTATAGGACGTGTCGGGGCTGAGCCCAGACATCCATAAACTACGTGCATCCCCAGATACAGAAAGGCTCTGTGTTTCTGGACCACCTGCTGAATTTGCCACTTCAATCACAAAACTGTCAAAGGCAAGGCCATCCTCAATGATCCAGGACACATTGAAACTATCCCAAGATACATCAGACACACTCAGACTGCCAATCTGCGGCTTCTGCTCCTCTGACAGACAAAGAAATCAGAAATGAGTTATTGTCACTGAAATTAATTACATTTGCATAATGAAATGAGCTCAACTTGCCAGTGCCACCGGCATAAACACAATGACAGCTACAGATAAAACACTTAATAGATGGAATGAAATGATATGAATGAAGACATGAGGCACAAAGATGGTGTTCATTCATGTCGAGAAATAATGGTAGAGTGATCCGATATAAAACGTTTGGAAATATTTCATGCCATAATCCCGAGGGGACGTTTGGAAAGCACAGGAACAATTCTGCAAGCGTTTTGTGGCACTAGAGGTATAGGATCACATCTTGGGTATGTTTGATTGGAGAAAGTGAACTTTACATAATATTCAATGTTTAATAAATACGTAATACACTACCAATTAAAAGTTTAGCGTCGGTAAGATTTTGTAAAAGGTTTGAGTCTCTTGTGCTCACTAAGGCTGCATTTATTTGATCCAAAATACAGTAAAAACAGTGAAATTTCGAATTATTATTAGTATTTGAATATATTTAAAAAAAGTAATTTTTAAAAATATAAAAGTAAACATTTTTGTGTACTACTAAATATTTTTTATACTAAAATTAAAACAGAAAATCTAAAAAAAGGCATATATAAAAAACAGTAACGCTACAATAAGTTGTCATTTGTAAACAATGAACTAAAAACTAGGGCTGTCAAACGATTAATCGCGATTAATCGCATCCACAATAAAAGTTTGTGTTTACATAATATATGTGGGTGCACTGTGTATAATTATTTTATATATATATATATATATATATATATATATATATTCACACATGCTTGTATGCATTTAAGAAATATTTTCATGTATATACTGTATATAGTTATATATATATATATATTTATAATTTATTATTTTTTTAAATAATTTTATAATTATAAAATATTATTAAAATTATTAAATAATTATTAAATAATTTTATAATTTTTTTAAATAATTTTATAATTTATAATTATTTTATAATTATATATATATATATATATATTTATAATTATATATATAATTTCTAATTTATATTATATATATAAATAATATTGTTTTCTTAAATATACATGCATGTGTGTGTATTTATATATATATACAGTATATATACACAAAATAATAATACACAGTGCAGCCACATATATTATGTAAACACAAACTTTTATTTTGGATGCGATTAATCTTTTGACAGCCCTACTAAAAAGAAATATACTTGTTACAGTATTTATTAATCTTTGTTTAATGTTAGTTCACATTAGGTCATGCTAGTTCACAGTGCATTAACTAATGTTAACAAATGCACCTTTTGATTTTAACAATATTTCAGCAAATATTTAAATTAATATGAACTATGATTGATAAATGCTAATAAAATTAGCTCATGTTAGCTAAAGTAATGAAACCTTATTGTAAAGCGTTACCAAAACAAACTATAACCGTATATCAATGATAATAAAATAACACTGATACTGTACAATGCTTCCCAGCTGAATTAAATCATACATTTCTTGCATTTCTTAAAATTTCATAAACATAATTTCTTTCAAACTTTTAAATGGCATTGTACAACTAAATACTTAACATGCACAGAGCGTCGCTTGCGGGATTTGGGTTTCTAAACACTTTTTTTTTCTTCACTTTTTTGGGTTTCTAATGCAAGTTTTATTCACAAAGCCATCTTACGCCTGCAGAAATGCTCCTATAAATGACATTAGTACTGTGATGGCGGATGACAGATGACTGTGGTTTCTGAAGATGATGTCCATGTACCTGTCTTGAGGTGAACATTGACCGGTTGAGATTTTTCGCCCTCCTTCATCCCATATAAAGTAATCTCATAATGCATGCCAGCGCTCAGCCCATCAACACGGACCTGCCGGGCTTCTCCAGATACGTCAATAATGAGCTCTTTAGACTTATTCGACGTTGAGTTCAGCTCAACGATGAAGCTATCGAAGGCTCCTTCTGGAGCTGACCAAGATAGCCACAAACTATTTCTGCTCACATTTGTGACTTTTAGGTCACTCGGAGGCCCTTGACTTGGGCCCTCAAGTTCATCACCTGAGGCTTCAGCTTTAAAATCTTCTGTTAAATAAGTGGAGGTAGAGACTGCTGGTTGAACCTCCTTATGGAGGCTCGGTTGCATTGTTGAAACACTTGTGACGGTCAAAGCAACAACATCAGGAGAGGTAGACTGTGCTAGAGGAAAGTACATTCAGTGCATTTAAGGTCAGAGGTTAAAGACGGGACATAATTAGAAGTGCTTTTCCTGTGAAAACAAGAGGTTACAAGTCATTGACTAAGTGCACAGTGACATGAGAAATCAAATTTGACTTGATCTTTTGACATATAAGAGGTCTTTGTACCATTAAAAAAGTTTCAAAGCTTAAAAAGTCCTCATTCGTTTCAAAAAGCGGCTCATTTAAGACAAAATAATAAAATAATAGTTTTTCTGCATATATATATATTTTTTTTTGTATACATTATAAGTCAACCTCATGGAAACATGTTACAATAATTGTCATGATGACCCCTTTAAAATATGACTATATTCACTTTTGTTTATCCTGGGAAGTGGTTCTCTGATTTGCTCCATTAATAATTGTAAAATAATTACTACTGTACATTTTATAATTCTTTTTGAATTAACATTATGCCATGAGGCTGTATTCATTAAATAGTTGCAACCACTTTAACATGTGGGATTTCATCCACATGTGTATGTCAGGGTTATTATATTTAACCAAGACCATAAAAAGCATTTTCATTCATATATATTATATATTCAAAACATATTTCCCCCCTCACTTTCTCAACGTGCACTGAGATTTGAGACACACTGCATGCGATAAAACTTAATTCACATGCAAATGATGTATTGAAATCTGCATGCATGAATCTGAAAACATCTGGCATTAATGGCTATATATGATGAGCCATTAATCGCTGAAGTTTCCAAGTAGTCCACCAGAGTGGAAGTACATGGGACACTTCAATGCAGACCTCGAGATGTTTTGAGGAAACGGCATGCATGAACTCAATTCGTTGTTAATTAAACAACATTCTACTAATCAGTTTTCTCATGCATTTCTCTTTTTTTCACAACAGAGTTTAGTTTGTTATGAGCATTAACTATTTTCTCCACTGGGTTTGTGGATATTCTTGGCAAACCAGGGCTGGGTGATATACTGAATATTTGCAATAAATATATTAAAAAACTAAAATAATAGTTCGAGTTCTATGCCTGAATCATTATTCGCTGGCTGCATGAAGGTCATGTCTACATGATATTTTTTATGCATTTGTGTATTTTTAAGCAGCAAATGTTTGGTTCAATTTAATATTAAACAAACAATAATTATAATTATTATATTAAATTAAATAAATAAATGTGACATTTTTTCTAGCAAAAAAAAAATTTATTGCATTAAACAACCTGAATTGGCTTCAATTCTTGTTAAAATAATGGCTCCTCTTGTAAAAAAAAAAATTAAATGGTCAAAATTAAATATTAAGATAAATCGTGAATAGAGTAAAAAGTGTGAACCATATGTATATATATATATATTAGGGCTGTCAAACGATTAATCGCGATTAATCGCATCCAAAATAAAAGTTTGTGTTTACATAATATATGTGGGTGCAGTGTGTATAATTATTTTGTATGTAGCCTATAGAAATACACACACATGCATGTATATTTAAGAAAAAAATATTATTTATATATAAAATATTTATATTTAATATAAATTATATACGGTATATACATAAAAATAATTCTTAAATATATACAAGCATGTTTGTGTATTTATATATATACAAAATAATTATATACAGTGCACCCACATATATTAAGGAAACACAAACTTTTATTTTGGATGCGATTAATCGTTTGACAGCCCTAATATTTTTCTGTATCACCCAGCCCAATTAGCATCCATATCATCATCATCATCATGCATGTTTTTTTTGCTCTACCATTTGATGTATGGGAGCAGTTGCATATCATATATCATGCAAAATGAGTCAATCCACTCTTAAACCTATGAAACCAATCATTTCTTATATTTTTGTACCAATGGCAATGACTTGAAACCCAAAGACAGTTTATACCTGTGACTGCTACAGCTTCTAGTAGTGAAGATCTTTGGTTATTGGATATTCCATAAAGCCTTACTTGGTACTCAGTGGAAGCCCTTAGACCTCGGATCTTAGTGCCGTTCACCTCCACATTGAGATGAACCTCCTTGCTCCATTTCCCTGAGAAATCTTTAAGTTCTACAGTGTAACTATCATAGCCAATGTGCATATTTGACTCCCACGAAAGATCAAATCCATCAGACGTGACATTGGACACGGTCAAAGTGCCGGTGGGATCCTCGTATCCGCTGCCAGAGTTGTCGAGAGGCACAAAGCTAATGACATTGTCGTCGGTGCCTTTGGCTGAACCGAGCTCAGGAAATGTGTTCGCTAGATAAAAAGTGAAAGATGCTACAAAGAAAAGACAAAAACATTTGAAACTGGGCAACACCGGATGAAACCTCATGACACACGTGCAAATCCCTTCATTCAAGACCAAATATGATTGACTATCATCTGGACAAAAAGCCCTCGCACAATACATTTCCTGAAAGTGAAAAACGCTGATCATAATCGCAAATATTCTGATCATATTTGATGTTTAATACACAGCTGTGTGGAGAGAGATCTGTGTTTGGGTATATTGAGAAACTCAGATTTACTGGTGTCACAGTTAGTTAGTTATGGCAGGAAACATTCTTCACGCAAGTGCACAAATGCAAACAATCCACTACAGAAAGTGCGCAGATCTGTTGAACCTGCTTAAAGGGATACTCCACTTTTTTTTGGAAATAGGCTCATTTTACAACTCCCCCAGAGTTAAAGGAGTAGTTCACTTTTAAAAAAACCTTTGCTGATAATTTACTCACCCCCATGTCATCCAAGATGTCCACGTCTTTCTTTCTTCAGTCGAAAAGAAATTAAGGTTTTTGATGAAAACATTCCAGCATTTTTTCTCCATATAATGGACTTCAATGGGGACCAAACGGTTCAAGGTCCAAAAGACAGTTTCAGTGCAAACTACAAACTGTTCAAAGGGCTTTAAACAATTCCAGGTGATGAATAAGGGTCTTATCAAGCGAAACGATCGCTCATTTAAAAAAAAAAAAAAACTAAAAAAAAAACTAAGTTTAAGTTTTATAAGCTCAAATGCTCGCCTTGTTCTGTGATGCGCGTTCGTGACTCTCCTGTTCAAACTCGTTCATCAAAATGAGCACATTTTTTTTTTCTTCATTTTTTTGTCATTTGGTTCATTTAACGAACGAGTTGACTTGGGAAAAGATTCCTTCATTTTGATGAATGAGTTCAAATAGGAGAGTCACGAACGTGCATCACATAATAAAGTGCTTATAAAACTTAAACTTTGTTATTTTATTTTTTTTAATGAGCGATCGTTTCACTTGATAAGACCCTTATTCATCGTCTGGAGTCGTTTAAAGCCCTTTGAACAGTTTGCAGTTTGCACTGAAACTGTCTTTAGACCTTGAACCGTTTGGTCCCCATTGAAGTCCATTATATGGAGAAAATCCTGGAATGTTTTCATCAAAAACCTTAATTTCTTTTCGACTGAAGAAAGAATGACGTGGACATCTTGGATGACATGGGGGTGAGTAAATTATCAGCAAAAGTTTTTTTTAAAAGTGAACTACTCCTTTAAGATAGAAGCGTCCTTGCATAGAGATGAATGTTTCATGCCTAAAACTGAATATTTTTTGGGGAAAAAGTATGCATATAAAGTTAGTCATGATCATTTCACAATCTCTTGTCCACACCTGCAAACAGAACAATAGCATTATCATGTTGCAAAAGCAAACAAAAGTAAGGAAGCTCTCACCTGTGGATGCGGTCACAGTGGCTGGAGCACTTCTTCTCCGTGCACGTTCTGACACCAGGGTGACGGTGTAGCGCATGCCGGGGGTCAGGCCGGTCAGCGTGTGTGTGGTGGCAGTCGCAGGCAGCTCCAGCTCTTCCCGTCGCCCGTCGGCAGACACAAACGCTAGCCTGTAGGTGGAGATCTTGGCCCGGGGTCTCTTCCAGACCAGATCCAGAGTGCTTTCAGAGGAGTCTCGCACTTCCAGGTCTCGAGGTGGATCCAGATCTATGTGGGCAAAGAAGATCCATAATCATTCAAGAGAACAGTTTTTAGGATAATCTTTGTTTGTGTTCCAAATATACAGCATTTGAGTGTATAAAACTTAAACTTTGTTATTTATTTATTAAATGAGAGAGACCCTTATTCATCGTCTGGAATCGTTTAAAGCCCTTTGAACAGTTTGCACTGAAACTGTCTTTTGGACCTTGAACCGTTTGGACCCCATTGAAGTCCATTATATGGAGAAAATCATCAAAAACTTTAATTTCTTTTCGACTGAAGTAAGAAAGACGTGGACATCTTGGATGACATGGGGGTGAGTAAATTATCAGGAAAAGTTTTTTTTAAAAGTGAACTACTCCTTTAATGCACCCTTGCAGGATAAAAGTATCAATATCTTTCAAATAAACAAAAAACAATGATATTGATCTTGAAGCTTTGAACGGTAGTGTCTGTCGCTCATATAAAGAGAGGAGATCTCACCGGTCAGTGCATTGGTGGTGGCCGGCACACTCTCTCTCTCATTCTGAACGGCTGTGACTCCAATGCCGTACTCCGTTCCAGGCTTCAGGCCTACGGCACACACAATCCATTAATCCAGAGGATGAAACTCTAAACTGATGCATTTTCAAGCAGGGAACAACGGGGGAAATTCTGAGCTATGACATCTCTATGTGAACATTTTCACTTCTTTATGTGATTTTCTTCAAACAATCCTTTTGATTTTATACAATGCTGCATGTTTGCACATCAGCAAATAAATTTCACTTTCTTTAACGAATCAAAATCTTGCGCACTGTACAGTATGGGTTTAAAAACAGAAATGTGCAGTTTCTATTTTTGTAAAAACACTTTTTATTCTTTCTTTCTTTTAAAATGATCGTTTTTGGATAAAACATTTTTAATACATTATTTTTGGAATGATATTTCTCTTTTATCTCCGTGCATATTGTGCAAAATATCACAGCAGAAGTATAATATTGGATATAACTGACATGACCTTTTTTATTTTACAACTCTAGTTTCAAGTTAAAACATAAATTGTTTGTTCTTATTGTGTATTTTAATGTTTGTGTTGCCATTGTTTTTGCCTTTTTTCCCCAGACTAAATGACAAAATCACAATCAACACACTGTTAAAAAAGATTTCCTTGCTTAGTATTTTTTTTTATCTTGTTTTCCATTTCAAATTTATAAAAATTAAATCAATTAGAGGGAAAATGACTTAAGATGTTAAGTCTCGTTTTCTGACAAATTGGTCAAAATTTCATGGCAAAATATGGGGAAAGAGGCAATCTTGTTTCCCCTTTGAATTAATACGCTATTGACAGACAATTGTCAAATATAGTCACAAATGTACTTTTTTTTTTTAGATACCATCCGTTATTTTGCTTCTTAAGTAAATGTATCTTGATTTATAACACTCCTGATATGTAACAGTAAATAAAATGCAGTTCTCAGTAACAGCAGTCTCATTTTTACCTGTAATTGTGGCCCATGTCGTGTCTCCTGCTCTTCTAGGGAACATATCTTCACCGTGAGCACCTCCTGCGATCGGTCCGTACTTGATCCGGTATCCGTCGATGGATGAACGGCTGTTTTTCCATTCCACTGTGATGCTGTTGTCAGTCTGATCAACAGCTTTAAGGTCACTGGGGGCATCCAGGCCTGGGACACACAGAAATCAATCCCAGCATCAGTAAAACATTGGTTTGGCTGATTTAAAGGGATAGTTCACTTTGAAATTAATTTTTGGTATGTTTTAGCTTACCTGAAACATGATGTAGGTGTCTTTGTTTCCGAAGTAGTTTCAATTTTGATATTTTCAGGTCAAACCGTTCTTGTCTGTCAGTCATATAATGGAGGTCTATGGTCACCACCTCAAAGAGCATGCACAGAGAAGTCCAAATTAAACATGATTTACTGACTCATAAATGTAAGTACTCATTGATCATTTTAAGTATTTAATATTTATAGTATTCATATCATTTATATAGTATTTATATTATTTATATCGTTCGACTTCTCCAAGGTGGTGACCATAGACCTCCATTATAAGAACGGTTTGACCTAAAAATATCAAAATTGAACCTACTGTTGAAACAAAGACACCTACATCTTGGATGCCCTTGAGGTAAGATAAACATCCCAAAAATTTATTTCAAAGTGAACTATCCCTTTAAGTCAACCGAAAATTTCACTTTAACATCTGATAAGCAAAGAATTTGATTTGTAGAGTGATCATACCTGTGGTGAAGCTTTCAGAGATGGGCTCGCTGGTCAAATCTCCCCTTCTAGAACTGAGAGACGCTCTGTATTCAGTGTCGGGTTTCAGGTCTTCCAGGCTGTACTGCGTGTCTTTGGCCGAGAGGTCGACATCACGATGGACTAACGGGTCTGTGCTTGGCCCGTACGAAACCCTGAACCCGTCCACCTGAGACACAGGCCTGGACCAGGAGATCACTGCTGACCTGTCAGTCACATCGCTAACACCAACCTGTCCTGGAGAATCGATTCCTTCAGCAAAAGGAGGGATATGTGGTGGTTATACTTACAATTATTTTCAGTCTCAGGTTGTGTGTTCATTCATTTATTCGCAGAGTGCTCGTCTCGTATGTTTTGTGAGTGTCTGCATCCAAAATCGCATACTTCCTTACTAAATAGTAGGCGAAAACCTGAATGTGACAAAAGATGTATGTCCGAAATTGTAGTACTCATAAAAGAGTAGGGAAAAAATCCCTGGATATACTACTTCAAGTGAGATTCTGAAGTGTGTGTACGATTGACACTTTTCAATCCCATGAGGCCATGGGAGAGGATTTGTAAATGGCAGTGAAGCGACATGACTGACGCTGGTACGTCCAGATTACATTCATACTCATATACAACGTATTTTGCCATGAAGTAATTATTTATTCAAAATAAGTACCTGCTCAAAAGAGTATACCATTTCAGATGCAGCACTTGTGTTTGCAGTGCTGTGCCAGTTTGTTAGTGCCTGTTTGATTTGTACATATCTATTTATTTATATGATTTGAATATACACCTATCCCAAAGCAAGACATTCAAGAGGAATCAAATCAAATGCTGCAGGACAACTTGCACACTGCAATTTAATATGTCGTGTTATGGGTTCATTCAAATGAATAAACTAGACTATAAACTTGTCAATGCCTACACAATTCTTTCATGCAGTAAATAAGCACATTCACCCTAAATGGATTGACCTAACCATGACAGATATATCCAGATCTAGCAATCTGAGGCAGTAAAATGGGGAACTACACTAACTACTGTCAGAAATCAAGGGCCTTTTGAAACCAAACCACGCCTTGTTGGCTGTTATCTTGGATAAAGGCTGTAAATGTCATGGATCTTCCAAATTTCTCACGGTCGAGGACAGAATTGGGCTGTTAAAGCTACCCACGCTAAATGTTTAATTTGGTTAAATGATGGCCTCTATTCTTCTTGGCCTTTCCAGCCAGCAGGCCTTCAAATTCTTCAAATTCTGACACTTCAGAGCCGTTTCCAGCACCAAAAGCGCCGCCTTCAACATTAACTTCAATATTGACATGGGATCATGACACGGACAATAGAGAAGGTGCATTACTTGTAACTACAGTCGAGCTTATTTCGGGTCCTCTGGTATTGTTCTTTACGACGGACAAAGTGACTTTGTATTCCTGTCCCGGCCCGAGTCCTGATTGCTCAAAGTTGGTCTGGGAAGGTGTCAGGTTGTTCACGATCTTCCCGTTTTCTTCCTTCTGTTATGGAGAAGACAGAAGAATATGCATTTAGCTTCCTTTAGTCGTGATTGTTTCTGCAAAACCTGTAATATACAGTATTTCGTAAATGCTAAAATCCAGATCAGTGGGAGCCTCAGAAATTTTCCCAGACAGCTTAAAGGGATACTCCACTTTTTTTGGAAATAGGCTCATTTTACCACTCCAGTTGAGTTTTACCGTTTTCGAATCCATTCAGACGATTTTCTGATATTTAGAAGAATATCAGTAACCAGACAGTTTCTGGTCTCATTGACTTCTATAGTAGGAAAAAATATATATTATGGAAGTCAATGAGACCAGAAACTGTCTGGTTACTGATATTCTTCTAAATATCAGAAAATCGTCTAAATGGATTTGAAAACGGTAAAACTCAACTGTTTAACTCTGGAGGAGTGGTAAAATGAGCCTATTTCAAAAAAAAAAAGTGGAGTATCCCTTTAAAGATAACTTAAAATGATTGAAAATAAGACAAAACAAGCATCAAAATGACACAAAACAACAATTCACACCCTCAAAAACCTGGATATATAAGGTGGTGTAATTTTAAAGGGTGAAATAAAATTCAAAAAAATAATAATGACGAAAAATCTATTTAATAATTTGTATTTTTTCAGTCTTTTTTTGTCTTGGCTTTTGAGTTATGTCAAGACAGTTACCCTTAAACAAATGAAACAGATTCTGAAAATCGGACAAAGTATGAGATACTGTTTATCTTGTTTTAAGGATTCAGATTTTTTTTGTATTGCAAAACGTACCAAAAAAAGGTGATATAATAAATAAAATATCATAACTCCATGGGCATTTTTATAATGAATATAGTATTTCTATATGCCAAGATCTAAAATATTTTATCAAGAAGATATTTGAGTAAAAAAAAAAAAAATCCTTAAAGGGAAACTCCACTTTTTTGGAAATAGGCTCATTTTACCACTCCTCCAGAGTTAAACATTTGAGTTTTACCGTTTTCGAATCCATTCAGCCGATTTTCTGATATTTAGAAGAATATCAGTAACCAGACAGTTTCTGGTCTCATTGACGTATATATGTTTTCCTACTATGGAAGTCAATGAGACCAGAAACTGTCTGGTTACTAACATTCTTCCAAATATCAGAAAATCGTCTGAATGGATTCGAAAACGGTAAAACTCAACTGTTTAACTCTGGGGGAGTTGTAAAATGAGCCTATTTCCCAAAAAAAATTGGAGTATCCCTTTAAAAAAAATAATAATGGGTTATTTTAATATTGTTGTAGTCAATGGGGAGCCTTGGAGTCAAAAAGGCTGGAAACCACTGAACTTGATGACCTCAAATCTAACAGACGTGTACTAAAAGTCACAGAAGTCCAACTGCGAGTCTATATTTATACCCGTTACTGGCAGTCATGATTCTTCCAAATATCAGAAAATCGTCTGAATGGATTTGAAAACGGTAAAACTCAACTGTTTAACTCTGGAGGAGTGGTAAAATGAGCCTTTTTCAAAAAAAAAAAGTGGAGTATCCCTTTAAAGATAACTTAAAATGATTGAAAATAAGACAAAACAAGCATCAAAATGACACAAAACAACAATTCACACCCTCAAAAACCTGGATATATAAGGTGGTGTAATTTTAAAGGGTGAAATAAAATTCAAAAAAATAATAATGACGAAAAATCTATTTAATAATTTGTATTTTTTCAGTCTTTTTTTGTCTTGGCTTTTGAGTTATGTCAAGACAGTTACCCTTAAACAAATGAAACAGATTCTGAAAATCGGACAAAGTATGAGATACTGTTTATCTTGTTTTAAGGATTCAGATTTTTTTTGTATTGCAAAACGTACCAAAAAAAGGTGATATAATAAATAAAATATCATAACTCCATGGGCATTTTTATAATGAATATAGTATTTCTATATGCCAAGATCTAAAATATTTTATCAAGAAGATATTTGAGTAAAAAAAAAAAAAAATCCTTAAAGGGAAACTCCACTTTTTTGGAAATAGGCTCATTTTACCACTCCTCCAGAGTTAAACATGTGAGTTTTACCGTTTTCGAATCCATTCAGCCGATTTTCTGATATTTAGAAGAATATCAGTAACCAGACAGTTTCTGGTCTCATTGACGTATATATTTTTTCCTACTATGGAAGTCAATGAGACCAGAAACTGTCTGGTTACTAACATTCTTCCAAATATCAGAAAATCGTCTGAATGGATTCGAAAACGGTAAAACTCAACTGTTTAACTCTGGGGGAGTTGTAAAATGAGCCTATTTCCCCAAAAAAAATTGGAGTATCCCTTTAAAAAAAAAAATAATGGGTTATTTTAATATTGTTGTAGTCAATGGGGAGCCTTGGAGTCAAAAAGGCTGGAAACCACTGAACTTGATGACCTCAAATCTAACAGACGTGTACTAAAAGTCACAGAAGTCCAACTGCGAGTCTATATTTATACCCGTTACTGGCAGTCATGATTTGACAGAGAAAACGTGTCATGCAAAAGTTGATGGTTTCCTAAATGCTGGTGGCATGAAACGGCAGAACTGAAAGTGAGCCGTCAGTTCAAACATCTGGGGTTTCTGGAGCACCATTAAAGGGAGTCTTAATGGAGACTTTACGGTTCAAGGATGGCTCTTTTTAATGGCTCCTTAAATGAGTGTATGAGCTCATGGCCGCCTGTAACTCTGACTCAAATGGAGAAAATGCCCATTCACATCTCTACTAATGAACAGTGATTAAATTGTCCATTACTCTGTTTTAAACACGAGAGAGAGAGACTCTGAAAGCAGCCGCGTGACCGTATAACCCTGGCACCTAGGAATAAAACGCTTACCGCAGTAAATCTGCTGACCTAAAGGTTGACATGTTATGTTCTACCAGCTGGTACAGAAATAAATTTTTACTATTATTTTTACAGCAAGTTATTAAAAGTGTTTCAAGATATTTCAACACTTTTCTCGCACTTCGCTTAAAAGAACGTGGCCCCAAAAAATGATTGGATGTTTTTATAAAGTTAACGACACTGACCTAAATACCTTTGCCTAGTAAGACATCAAAAATATATATATATTTTGGTGTGCTTTCTGAGTCAAAGTACCCCTCCATTTTTTATTTTTTAGTCTGAATAGACAAATAAATACAGGTAAAAGCGTAGGGAAAAAAGCCTTTAAAGGGGTGGTTCAGGATTTTCGACATCATCAGCCCTCATTTCCAAGTTAGCCTGGGTGTTATTCATCAATGGAGACAGTTTTCAAAAAATGTCATCCAGTCCTTCCAGTTGCATAGTTCGCTAGTTGCGGCCTGCCATTAAAAACAGTTTTACCCACTCCACAGTACACCAAAAGCAAATAAATTATAACACTAGACTATTGATGTAAATGTGTGTTGAGAGAATAATGTTAGAAATCAAAGTACTCTTCCATCTCAATGATCGCATTTCAGCAGCGGCTGAATTTTACTTCGCTCCGGTGAGCAGTACGGCGCCGAAAAGTAAACACAAAACCGAAGCGCACTACAGTCGGGACCATAGATATCCATAATAAAAGCTAGATGTCTTACAGCGGAGTCTCTATCGTCACCACCGGCGGCCATCTTGTCACAGGCAAGCTGATGTAAGATGAGTGATCAGCACGAACACAAATACTCTTATCTCATTGAAATCTTGACGGATTTACAAACGGTTTGGTTTCTTACAAACGTTATTAACGTGTCTATAATTCTGCATGATTATTTATTTATACATGTATTATTCATATCATAACTACATCTCTGACGTTTATAACAAACCAAACCGTTTGAAAATCGGTAGAAAATTGAGCAAGTTATGGTCATTTAAAAAGTACATGCACGAGTGAGCGAGCTGCCTGTGACAAGATGGCCGCCAGGTGCGGACGTCGACCTCCATTGGCCAGCAGGGTGGACGACATATCTAGCCTTTATTAATGGATATCTATGGTCAGGACTATCTGTACTACCTCTCACCATAGATATCTATATAAAGGCTAGATATCTCGTCCACGCTACTGGCCAATGGAGGTCGACGTCAGCACCTGGCGGCCATCTTGTCACAGGCAAGCTGATGTAAGATGAGTGATCAGCACGAACACAAATACGCTTATCTCGTTGAAATCGTGGCGGATTTACAAACGGTTTGGTTTCTTACAAACGTTATTAACGTGTCAAAAATTGTGCATGATTATTTATTTATACATGTATTATTCATATCATAACTACATCTCTGACGTTTATAACAAACCAAAACGTTTGAAAATCGGTAGAAAATTGAGCCAGTTATGGTCATTTAAAAAGTACAATCACCATTAAAACACAGTGTTACGAGTGAGCGAGCTGCCTGTGGCAAGATGGCCGCCAGGTGCGGATATTGACCTCCATTGGCCAGTAGGGTGGATGACATCTAGCCTTTATTAATGGATATCTATGGTCAGGACTACCTGTACCACCTCTCACCATAGATATCTGTATAAAGGCTAGATATCTTGTCCGCGCTACTGGCCAATGGAGGTCGACGTCAGCACCTGGCGGCCATCTTGTCACAGGCAGCTCGCTCACTGGTAACATTGTTTTAATGGTGCATGTACTTTTTAAATCACCGTAACTTGCTCAATTTTCAACCGATTTTCAAATGGTCTGGTTTGTTATTAACAACAGAGATGTAGTTATGATACTGCATACTTATGAATAATAAGTGTATAAATAAATAATCATCCAGAATTATAGCCACATTAATAACGTTTGTAAGAAACCAAACCGTTTGTAAATCGGTAGAAAATTGAGCAAGTTACGGTGATTTAAAAAGTACATGCACCATTAAAACAATGTTACCAGTGAGCGAGCTGCCTGTGACAAGATGGCCGCCAGGTGCGGACGTCGACCTCCATTGGCCAGCAGCGCAGATGACATCTAGCCTTTATTAGTGGATATTTTTGGTCGGGACTCACTACCTCTCTCTCTCTCACTACCACTCTCGGTTGCCTAGGTAACTACATATCACTCCGCCGCTATTGTAGACTGTGCTAATAAATACAGGGAACAAAGTTTAACTATTGCAATGTGATGAAAGGGTAGTTTGATTTCTAACATTATTCTCTCAACAGACATTTACATTTACATCGATAGTCTGGCGTTATAATTTATTTGCTTTTGGTGTTCTGTGGAGTGGGTAAAACTGTTTTTAATGGCAGGCTAGCAGATACCATTGACTCGCGCTAGCCTAGCAAGTGGAACGACTGGATGAAATTTTTTGAAAACTGTCTCCACTGATAAATAACACCCAGGCTAACTTGGAAATGATGTCCAAAATCCTGAACCACCCCTTTGACACCAACCGTGTTACGAAAGTTGAGCTCCCAGCCGTCAAAAGGAATGTTCAGCTGGTCCCACAAAACCTCCACAGACGTATCAGTGATGGACTTAAACTTCAGGCCCTCAGGCTGCGGTAGATCTGCAGGAAAACAGCACAGGTTTATTAGCAGAGTATCATGACATTCAGAGTTTATTAGCAATGATCAGTTCCTGGATATAAGATGTTTACTTGCACGAATGTTTAGTGGCTCAATGGATTAGTTCCAAATGCTGTTTGGACAGTTTTGCATGTGCAATGACAGGTTTGAGTAACTTTACTGTCTGTGTTAAAGATTTTTCTGGGTTTACAAGAGATATGAACAACTATCATTATGCTTTTAGAAAAACACCTGACTACAAATTGTTCCAAACTTTTCCTATAATTTGTGAACTGTGCACTGCTTTGAATTAAAGACTCAGCTAAATGACAATAGAAAGAGGACGTGACACGGAAATGTACAAACTGAAAGCAGTACAACAAATACTATCACAATACATTATATATATATATTACATTTAATTTTAGTGTGTTAAAAAATATATTACAAAATATATTATTTAAAAATATTTATAATATATTATTTTAAAATATATTACATTTAATATATATATATATATATATATATATATATATATATTACATTTAATATATATAATCTTTTTAAATTAAACATTGCAGTATTGAGAATATAAAAAAATTTAATTTTAATTTTGATGAAATAGCTATGAGAGCTGGAGTGAGAGGAAATGCTTAACTGTCATAAATATAAACAATTATGTATTAATTAATTATATAATAAAATAAATATACATTATTAATTGTATTATATTATAACTGTATTAGTACTATTAATAAAATTAATTAAAATTAAAATAAAAAACACCCCAAAAATAAAAAGATAATAAAATAATCCTAAAAAGGAATAGTTTTGAAAAATATTGACAGCCCCCAAAATTTTTATTTCTTCGTCTTTTTAGAGTGAATTATGCCATTTTCTTGACAGGTTTCATAACTTGTATTAATGAAAAACGTGAAAACAATCTTACAAAGACAAAATATGAGAAACATTTCTCTCCTAAATCAGACTTTTGTCTCATGCAGTTTTGCCTCTCAGGTGATTCAGATATCTTTTCTTTTTTTTGTATTGGAAAACATGATAACAATAAATAGTTATTAGTATTATTGGATAGATGTTAGCTATGAGAAAACCAAACTGCAAGAGACCACATTTGTAATTCCAGTGTTAGACAAAATATACAGTATGTATAAACATTTGTTTCACCACAAAGTGTGCAGGTGTGTATGGTGATTGCACGTGTGTGTAATGTAGAGCAGAGTGTGTGGACGTACGTGTGGCCACTCTGGCACTGACTGGAATGCTCTTCTTGTTGTTGAGGACGGCATAAACGTTGATCAGGTACTCGATCCCAGGCTCCAGCTCAGAGACGGTAGTAGACGTCCGGTCTCCAGGCACTCGGAAGTCCATCTGCAGGCCGCCTGGTGAAGTCGGGATGTACGTGACTAAATACTCCGTCACCAGCATCTCGTTCTTCCACGTGAGGTTCACCTCCTCTGTGGTTACATCTGTGACGGTCAGGTCTTCCGGTGGCGAGACTGGGAAAGATATTAAAGCTCATTTAGGTCACAGATGTCGAGAGACTGAATGACCAAAAAGTGGTCGGAAAACTGTCCCTGTTTCCATTGTGGTGATCGGAAATCATCCAATCAAACTATGGAGAGGTTTCAATATAAAGATACACAGAGTAAGTTTATATTACTTTTAAGTAATATAAGTAACTTGTGTTTCTTATTAATGGTCCTCTATGTAAATCTAGTGGATTTCACAGGCACACATATGGTATTAGACAAGAAATGAGTTTATAATTAGCCGAATAAACCCACTGCTGTCTTTGTCCTCGATGTTAATCTAACAACAAAAGACAAAGAGAAAATCACTGCTCTCTTGTTTTGTAACTTTAATAATGACTATTATTATACTGTGAAGACTATACGGTGTAATTTTTACATTTGATTACATCATTCAATTTCTATACCGAAAAATTGTGATATTTAAAATTGCCGTCTTAAAATTTGAACCCCTGGCCCAAGCAGGCCAGTAGAAAAAAATATATTGTGCCCTGCTGGAGTTATAAATAGTCACTGTGCTATTAAATTAAAGATAAAATATGATAATGCAAAAATATGAACAGTGAAAATAACTGAAGATCCTAAAAAACATTTTAACAGGCATAATTAGGCATGGAAAATATCTATTTGCTAAGTGATAAGCTCGATTCATATTCTTTTGGTTTCTCTGCCCAATATTGTAAAATATAAAAAAATGTAAAAATCGGAATCGGTAAAAACAGGTTTCAATAGGTAAAAACTCAGTATGGGCAAGTACTAAAAATTTAAGTATAGGTATCGGATTTGTTCTGGAAAAAGTGGTATCGGTGCATCCCTAAAAAATACAGTAAAAACATAATTTTTTTGAAAAATAAAGAAACATTGCCTTAGCAACTAGTTTAAATAATAATAATAATAAAATATATATATATATATATATATAAATAAAAAAGTATTTTAAATTTTTTTTTTATTCCAGTTAACATTTGTTTTATTTTAACAAATGTTTTTAATGGTTTTAGTTTTTAATTCTTTTATTCTTTTTGTCAGGGCTGTCAAACGATTAATCGTGATAAATCGCATCCAAAATAAAAGTTTGTGTTTACATAATATGTGTGTGTACTGAGTATAATTATTTTGTATACAAATACACACGCATGCATGTATATATTTAAGAAATATTTGCATGTATATATATGTATATATAATAGATATTATTTATAAACATTCATATATTTCTATATATATATATATATATATATAATCTTTTTTTCTTAAATATATACATGCATGTGTGTGTACTTGTATATAGAAAATAATTATACACCGTACACACACATACATTATGTAATCACAAACTTTTATTTTGGATGCGATTAATCGTTTGACAGCCATAATATTTGTTTTAGTTCAAAACAATAGACATTCAACAAAAAACAAACAAAAACATTTTTAACGGAAAATACTGAACTTATTAATACTTATGAAATACTAAACAAAACAGATTATCTGCTTTATAAGAATCACCTTCCGAGCAATCCTCGCCAATGTAGCCTTCATCACAAACGCAGAGGCCGTCCACGCATTGGCCCACTCCCGTGCATTCGTTCGGACAGCTTCTTTCTCCACAGGCATCTCCACCGAAGCCCTCGTCGCACACACATTTCCCGTTGACGCAGCGCCCGCGGTCGTTGCAGTTTCCAGGGCAGGAGGGAACGGAGCAGTCGTGACCCTCGAAACCCTCCTGGCAGACACACCGGCCCTCCACGCAGCGTCCGCGGCCGAGGCAGTCATTGGGACACTTCTTTTGAGCGCAGTCCTCTCCGGTGAAGCCTTCGTCGCAAACGCACTGCCCTGCGACGCAGCGTCCGCGGTTCAGGCAGTTGCTCGGGCAGCTCAATTCGCTGCAGTCTTCGCCTGCGAAGTTTGCGAAGCAAACGCACTTCCCGTCCACGCACTGGCCTCGACCGTAGCAGTCCGACGGGCAGCTTTTGATGCTGCAGTCCTCGCCGCCAAAACCCTCTTGGCAAACACACTGGCCGTTAACGCAACGCCCACGATTCTTGCAGTTGTTAGGGCAGCGGAGCTCCGAGCAATCGCGGCCTTGGAAGCCAACATCGCATTCGCACCGCCCGTCTATGCAGCGCCCTCGGTTGTTGCAGTTGTCCGGGCACGAGAGCCTCCCGCAGTCCTCTCCGAGGAAGCCCACGTCGCAAATACACACTCCGTTAAAGCAGCGCCCCCTTCCGTTGCAGTTATTCGGACAGGTTAGGACGGTACAGTCCTCGCCCGAGTACCCGGCGTCACACACACAGCGGCCATCGATGCAGAAACCTCGTCCCGAGCAGTCGTTCAGACAAGAGAGTGTCCCACAGTCTTCTCCGACGAAGCCTTTCTCACAGTAACAGGTCCCGTTGTCGCATCGTCCGCGGTCGTAGCAGTCATTCGGGCAGATGAGCTCGGAGCAGTCGAAGCCAGTCCAGGGTTCGTCGCAGACGCACTCGCTATCAACGCAGCGCCCGCGTCCCAAACAGTTGTTGAGGCAATCCGAATCTGTGCAATCTTCCCCGGAGAAGCCTTCATTGCAGACGCACACCGCATCAACGCAACGCCCGTTCACGCCGCAGTCCACCAGACAGGTTTCCAAGCTGCAGTCCTCACCCGTGAAGCCCTCGAAACACTCGCACTTTCCGTTAACGCAGCGGCCCTGGTCGCTGCAGTCTCCGGGACAGTTGGGAACGGTACAGTTGGGGCCCTTCCATCCGGGAGCACAAACACAGCCGCAGGTTTCAGTGCTGTAGTTTCCACGGCCGCTACAGTAGGGCTTCGTTCCCACAGCACCTAAAGAATCACCAGATATGTGCATTTACATGAATGCATTTGCTTGTATGTATCAAGTTGTGAATGGAACCCTGTGCTGGTTCAATTATGGAAATATCATTGCCAAATAGCATTTACTAGGGAAGATGAAAACATTAAAGGATTAGTTCACTTTTGAAAAAACTTTTGCTGATAATTTACTCACCCCCATGTCATCCAAGATGTCCATGTCTTTCTTTCCTCAGTCGAAAAGAAATTAAGGTTTTTGATGAAAACATTCCAGGATTTTTCTCCATATAATGGACTTCAATGGGAACCAGACGGTCCAAGGTCCAAAAGACAGTTTCAGATGCAGCTTCAAAGGGCTTTAAACGACACCAGACGATGAATAAGGGTCTTATCGTGCGAAACGATCGGTTATTTCAAAACTTATTCCAAAAATGTAACTTTTCTAAGGACAAATGCTAGCCTTGCTCTATTCTCTGAGGCGCGTTTGCAACGTCACGTAATACGTAATTACGTTCAAAAGGTCACGGGCGACGTAGCCGGAAGTACAGAATCAAAATCGTCCGACATCGTTGTTTTACATTTTAATTCCTTTTTTTGTAAACGCCGTTTGAGTTAGTTTTCACGTTCAACCTATGCGTTCAACTTGTAAACACTCTGACTCTGTAGTTCTGGCTACGTCGCCCGTGACCTTTTTAACGTAGGTTGAAGGTGCAAACTAACTCAAACGGCGTTTACAAAAAAAGGAATTAAAAGGTAAAACAACGATGTCAGACGATTTTGATTCTGTACTTCCGGCAACGTCGCCCGTGACCTTTTGAACGTAATTACGTATTACGTGACGTTAAAAACGCGCCTCACAGAATAGAGCAAGGCTAGCATTTGTCCTTAGAAAAGTTACATTTTTGAAATAAGTTTTGAAATAACCGATCGTTTCGCATGATAAGACCCTTATTCATCGCCTGGTGTCGTTTAAAAACATTTGAAACTGCTTCTGAAACTGTTATTAACTTTCTTTTGGACCTTGAACCGTTTGGTTCCCATTGAAGTCCATTATATGGAGAAAAATCCTGGATTGTTTTCATCAAAAACCTTAATTTCTTTTCGACTGAAGAAAGAAAGACATGGACATCTTGGATGACATGGGGGTGAGTAAATAATCAGCAAAAGTTTTTTCAAAAGTGAACTAATCCTTTAATGCACTTGAAAAGCACCATGACCTTTTATTTATAAGTTTGCCAAAGTATATTGCAAATAGTGATATGATTACGCCACATGAAGACTTTAGCATAGGGACTTTATTGATTACTGATTATTTTATTCATGATTTAAATTAATTATGTCTCTAAGGATGGATAAATAAATGAATAAATAAATGCATATTTTTCTTTATGCTAAGAAACATACAGACAAACAATTATTTTATGATTTGCTGATAATTTACTCACCCCCATGTCATCCAAGATGTTCACGTCTTTCTTTCTTCAGTCGAAAAGAAATTAAGGTTTTTGATGAAAACATTCCAGGATTTTTCTCCATATAATGGACTTCAATGGGAACCAAACGGTTCAAGGTCCAAAAGACAGTTTCAGAGCAGCTTCAAAGGGCTTTAAACGATTCCAGGCGATGAATAAGGGTCTTATGAAGCGAAACGATCGCTCATTTAAAAAAAAATAAAATAAAAAATAAAATTAAGTTTTATAAGCTCAAATGCTCGCCTTGTTCTGTTTTGTGATGCGCTTTCGTGACTCTCCTGTTCGAACTCGTTCATCAAAATGAACGAATCTTTTCCCGAGTCAATTTGTTCATTTCGTTCGTTGAATGAACCAAATGACACGAAAAAAGATTCGTTCATTTTGATAAACGAGTTTGAATAGGAGTCACGAACGCTCATCACAAGGCGAGCATTTGAGCTTATAAAACTTAAACTTTGTTATTTATTAATTAAATGAGTGATCGTTTCGCTTGATAAGACCCTTATTCATCATCTGGAATCGTTTAAAGCCCTTTGAACAGTTTGCACTGAAACTGTCTTTTCAACCTTGATCCGTTTGGTTCCCATTGAAGTCCATTATATGGAGAAAAATCCTGGAATGTTTTCATCAAAAACCTTAATTTTGAGAAAGGTTTGACTGAAGAAAGAAAGACATGGACATCTTGGATGACATGGGGGTGAGTAAATTATCGGCAAAAGTTTTTTTTAAAAGTGAACTACTCCTCTAACATTAAAACAAAACACCTTTTAAATCGGACTGTCAGTGAACACTGTGAAACTTTCGACCCTCAATAAAGAAGTTAATCTGCCCGTGTCCTGTACCTGTGACCTCTGCGCTGCAGCAGGTTGACTCTGTGCCGCATTGCTCTCTGAGTGTGGACACCTCCAACTCCAACATCTCCAGTCGACTCAGGAGCTCCTTCAGATCCGGCAGTCCACCTGTACAGCCGCAGGCCTGCTTGGGGATGTTGATGCGATGGGTGAAGACAATCTGATTACTGCCGTCCAATGTCTGGTCAGTTACTTCAGAGCCAGATGGTGCGTCCTTCTGCTCGAGATCCGAACCACCCGGAGAGTCCAGATCCACACACAGAGAGCTACCCGGGATTTTGATGTTGTAAACGTGGTTGAAAATGACCGGTTGGGAAGAGTTCGGAAGGGTTACGTTGTGTACGCCGGGAATCGTCAGAGCTTCCCGTCGGTGCCTGATCATCTTCTTCACAAGGCCGGAGTGATTTAGGGTCATCAGGGTGGCCAAAACCAAACAGCTGAAAGTCAGGCGACCTGACCACATGTTTCTGCACTAATGAATGCTTGTCTTGGCAAGAAAGCCTGCCTGGTGAGTCTGGACAAAGTGGTGCTGTCTCTGAAAAAGACACAAAACATATTATACACTCTCAGAAAAAAAGGTACAAAAGCTGTCACTGGGGCTGTACCTTTATAAAAGGTACACTTTTGTACCCAAAGGCTGCATATTGGTACCTTAGTGGTACATTTAAGCACCTAAAATGTATATATTAACACCTAACATGTACATATTAACACTTAAAATGTACATATTAGCACTTACAATATACATATTAGGACCTAAAATGAACATATTAGGACCTAAAATGGACATATTTGTGCCTAAAATGTACATATTAGCACTTACAATATACATATTAGGACCTAAAATGAACATATTAGGACCTAAAATGGACATATTTGTGCCTAAAATGTACATATTAGGACATAAAATGTACATATTAACAACTAAAATGTACTTTTTAGCACCTAAAATGTACATATTAGCACCTAAACTGGACAAAAGTTTACCTTTTGAAAAGGTACAGCCCCAGTGACAGCTTTTGTACCTTTTTTTCTGAGAGTGTAAAGAATGAAACAATTACAATTCCAATAATGAATAGAAAAAGCAGAAAACCCCTTCAAAGCACCATCAGATATGAAGTGTAAACCATTGTCATTTTAGTATAAATGAGATACTATTTAGTTAATTTTCGTTCCAAGGAAACATTCTATTAATTAAATTTAACAACTAATATAACTAAAACTAAAAGAAAAAATATATAAATAGACATATTTAAAAGAATATATATAAAAAGAAACAGCAGAATCACAAACAGTCCCCAATTAAGGATGTTTAATTGTAGTCATTAAGCTTTGACAATTCTGTTATTGCAAAGATCCATGTTTTTCTATGGATTGCAAAATGGTAATTATATTTATATAAGTATAATGTAAAATATGAAATAAAATATAAGGGAGGAACAAAACGCTATAGTTAAGGTATTTATCTGACAAAATGATTCGGCAAAGGCGAACTACAGCTAGAAGTTTTATTTTACAATGCAAAAATAAAATGCATTGACAATTAAAAAATTCAGGGGAAAAAGCATACATTGACTACAACACAAAAGTCTTTTGTGGGCAAGAGTGTTAAATTTTCACCACTGTGTAGTGCTGAAAATTGACCGGCTGGTTTTCTAAAACTGTATCCCAGGCAAGATGCACTATCCCAGGCATGACTTAAATACGACAAGAGGAATGTCCTCCTCAGAAAAACAACTAAGTCCAAATTGCCATATTTGGCAGTCGCATGTAAAAGACTGGCAGAAAACGGGCTGCCAGGTGTTGGCGAATGGGTGACAGTGGTTCTTAAGGCAGAGCCAAATTAGACCATCATTAGGTCCGCTTTAGGCTTTAAGCCAAATTAGACTCGGGTGGTTAGACTTTTTGAAAAAGTATGAAACTGACCAGAAATTGACCAGCTGGTTTTCTGAAAATGCATCCCAGACAAGATGCACCGTGCCGGGCATGACTTAAATATTTGCCCGCTGCCTGGAAGTCTTGACTTTTTTTTGACGGCTTTGAGAACTAAGCTCCAGGGTCACATTAGTCCATCGTAAGGCCCACAAAGGCTCACTCTGGTGGGCGAGAGAGTTCAATTTCCACCGCTGTGGAGCTCTGGAAGAATGAAACCTCCAACCTCCAGGAATTGACAGGCTGGTTTTCTGAGCCTGCACCCCAGGCAAGATGCACCATACCCAGGCATGAATCAAGCTTAGAAGCCCTGGAGGATTGTCCTCCTCAAAATTGTCATATTTGGTCCCAGTCCAAATATATTTGCATAAAAACATACATTGACAACATAACTAGTGTTCATAAGCCCCTTTTCCAGCAGAGCATTTTGAGAGCCGGTGCCTGCGCGCGAACCAGTTCTTTGTGTTTCGACAGCCAAAGAACCGGTTCTCGGCCAGGAGAACCGGTTCCAAAGCGGCACCAACTCTTAGCTGGACTAGAACCGTTCTTTTACCACGTCATGCTTACGGCGGGGGCTGGGGCGGGTTTAGATGTGTCCTAAACATCTTTTCTGACCATAATAAAGGATCGCAAAGCCAAGAGAAACATTTGCAGAAACACGATGAAGTCCGCCTTTGTAATCGTTATGCTTGAAGTTAACGCAAGCGTTTCTATTTTTTTATTGAAGACATTATAAGCAAAGAAGAAAAGTCACAAAAATATAGAACAAATAAATAGAAAGAAAAAAAGACACAATTACAGGGGTACATAACCTATCAGAAAAAAATTACATATCAAACGAAAAGATTTAAAGACTTACATATTTCAATTGTTTTTAAAGCTTTCTTGGTATACGAGTTAGATGATCCGAAAGTAATGTTGTATTTGCAAGCGTTTCTAGCTAAGACGTATGGTGACGTACACAGTGACGTAACGACGTCGTTCCCTGGGCGCTCTAGTCAGTGGAAAAACAAATAGGTTCGAAGCGGTTCGCAACGAACCTCCGAACCAACTTTCAACCAGAATCAGTTCTTTTTTTTGGTGGAAAAGGGGTAATACTCTTCATTTCTGGGTGATATACCTTTAAATTCTTGTTTCAACAAATTGAATATGCATTATGCGTGACTAACGTGACTTATCTGTAATAAAATATTGATAGGCAATATATTCATCGCATGCATTGATTGAATAAAAGCCCATTTAAGGTCTGCACCAGTTATTGAACAAAATTGATTGCCACTGTATAGTACAAGACTATGAGGTCCATCGTTCATCACGATACCCTTATTGCTGAATCATAAATTCATTTTTTTCTTTTTCTAAGCCACTCTGCCAGATTCCTAAAAATACAGTCTTTGAGCATATTAATAAAATCTGTGTTTCCCTTCTGCACACTTGAGGTGGGATGACTTCATATCTGGACATGGGAGCTGTGTAATTTGTGGATGGTGGATGGTGGCCAGAGTCTAAGTCTCCTCCGCAGCGTGGGAACACTCATCCGAATCTCCTTCTGGATGTCCATACAGCCTCCACATGTCTCAGATGTCTGAGTGTGTGTGAGTCGGAGAGGAAAACTTGACTGCGTGATTCAAAAGAGATATCAGACACCTACACCACCGCAGCGAGAGGGACTTCCTGTCTCTACCGTGTGAGCGCCACTTACAAAAAGCCATTTTTTTTACCGAGCAGTTCAACGATAAGCTTAGATGCATACAATAAATGCATTTTTTTTTTTGCATGAAGACACTTTAATGAGAGTCCAGGCCTGTCATTATGTTAATAAAAGGCAAGACTTTCTCATTTCAACGATCGACACACTTTCCTGTCGCTAGTAGGGCTGATATATTGAATATTCGCATTAATATCTGACATTTCTGATGCTGTAAGTGACTTGTTTTGAAATAACACATTGAAATATGTGCACCTGTGAAACAACTACAGCCTGTAAACAGAGCCAATAAGAAAGGTTCTCTGCCTGTCAATCATTTTGGTTAGAGTTAGTAAATCAAAGAATCAATTTAAAATGACTGATGTTAAAGTAAACACATGTATGTACAGAAACATTGAAAAGTAGTTACAAAGGCTATATCTGTTTGATTAAAAAAACGCTAATATTTTGAAATACTATAATCATTTAAAATAACTTTTCTATTGTAATATATTTTAAAATGTAAGTTATTATGCCTGTGATCAAAGCTGAATTTTCAGCATCACATGATCCTTCAAAAATCATGTCATTTGACATCATTGGAAACATGTATACATATACATAGATAGTTGATCGGATGAGAAGTCATCCCATCGTTTTATGACTCCTTTTCATGTGATATTTTGAGCGTTTTAAGTTTTTTTTTATAAACGTTTTGCCAACTTCATAAAAATGCATGTAATCTAATATTTCAGAACACAGTCATCATTTTCAGAGTGCTAACAGCCTTTAAAATACATTAAAAGTTTATTCATGACCAGACAGAAAGTACAGCCAGACTCATGCAACGAACACGTGAGATTAGGAAAATGAGAAACAAAGTGTAAATAGGACTAGTATTATTACGTGTTCTACTATTATAAATATAAATAAGTTTATAATACTGAAATTGCATGTTTTGCATGAGAATTCTGTATATATACTGTGTCAGACCCTCCAGGATTTCACGATTTTTTTTTTATTATTTTTGCGATCAAAATGACTGATTTTGTGGTGGTAATTTCCAAAAATTTGTGAAAAAATTTGCGATTTATTTTTAACATTTACCACAATAGTATTCAGTCCTTCCAGAAAAACGAGTTTTTTTGTGATTATTGCGGGCAAAAATTTATTGATTATGCGGCCCGTTTTCTTTAAAAATGCGATGGAATATGTGGGATATTTATGCAATTTTATGCGATGAAATTGCAGGAATTTGCAAAAATTGAGGGAACTTGCAAAAATTGCGGTTTGATGAAAAAGAGAAAAAAAGTGATTCCCCCAACATCCTGTTAATCTAAGAGTCATTTCTTATTACTTCCTTTGATAAACAAGCATACTACATCATAGAAAGTGCTGGGAATATTTAATTTCTCATCTTGTTTTATTTCAGACTGTAATGAGTGTAAATAAGGTGTGGCCCCTTTAAGAGCTGCGCGCTCCCTGTTGAACTCTCTGCAGTGTTATATGTGCGCCTCAAACACCCCATGTGTGCGGGTAATTTCTATTTGATGCTACTTCTTTTATCTTATGTTGTTTATTAAGTAACGACGTGACGGTAAAACGTGTGACAGAGAGTTATACGAGTTCGATTTGTGAGATGTCAATCGGAAACAGGGGGAAATGGCTGCTCTTATGTGAAGCAAACGCAACATTTTTCAACTTTCTGCTAAGATAAATGTGACTTTTTTTGCAACGAAAATGCGAGGATTATGAAATTATGCAAACCCCGCATATTTTGCACGGAAATCGGCAATTTATGCGGCGAAAGTGCGGCGTATTTGAAAAAATGCGGCCCCCGCATAAATATGCGGACTTTGGCTGATTTTGCATTGAATTCAGCGATCGCATAATCGCGTTTTTCTGGAGGGACTGGT